GGGAAGGTCATGGTGGCCATGGAAGTCTTCTCCATCTTGGCCTCCAGTGCAGGGCTACTAGGCTGCATCTTTGTCCCTAAGTGTTATATTATTTTGTTTAGGTCAGACAGGAATTCTCTACAGGAGTTCAAAGATAAAACAAGTTCATGGACAAAGAAGCATTCTTCAGTTAAAAGAAATGTGTTTTCTTAAACTAAATAGAAGGTGTGAGGCAAATGCAGGCAAATGTGCACCATTTTTCAGTCTGCTATTAGATTGCAGTATGAGATTTAATTGTATGAACCACTGACTCACTTTTTTTTTCTTTTCTTTTCTTTATTCTTTGGAACACATTTCTCCTTAACTGGAAATTTATCCTCCTCTTCTTTATTCACCTTCATTTAGTCAAGAGTGCCGTCTTTGCCAGACCAGCCAATACATTTTTTTCCACTTTGGAATAAGCAAGCAACTAGAAAAAGTGAAGATTTGTATACTAGAAAAAAATACACCTGATAATAGCTCAGAGTTTTTATTTTCTATCATTGCCTCAGTCCATAAGATGATTCTTAATTTAAGTGAAGAAATAATAATAATAATAATATGTGTTTCATGTAATCCATTTCACATGTTCCACCAACTCCATCTCCCTGACTGTCCCCACCCCTAGGATTTGCATTTCAATGTGTTTATGTCATGTATCTTCCTCTTGTAATTGCCTAGCACACTTGTGGACTTGGAGAACCTACCACTGCAAGAAGGATGAGCCAACATACAGACACTGAAATTCTGTGCAGCTTTGTTTCCTCCAAATAATTTCACTCATTGCTGGAGATGGTGGTACACTCTTGTAATCCCAGCACTCAGGAGGCTGAGGCAGCATGATTGCTGCTAGTTTGAGTCCAGTCTGGGCTACAAAGTAAGCAAGGCCAGCCTGTATGCCATAGCAAAACCCGGTCTCACAAAGAGAATAGATGAACAAACAAATAAATAAATAAATAATTGTACTCATTAACCATATATGTAGGTCATGTTCTGGGCATTCCTGTACTCATAGGGTGGTTCTCTGACATCCATAACAGTCATCCATCCCAGAAATTCTCTTGGGGAAGTTAACTCAGAGGCAGTAGCATATCTTACCATCCACAGCTCTCCCGAAATCCTGTCACATCTAATAATGCCAGAGAATGCAATATTCTCGCCTGTATTTGGCATTTTGGAAGTGTCCATGTACTCACTTGGTGGACATAAATTGAGGAGGAATGCCATTCAGTTTCCCATAGGAGAGGCCACTCCAAATTTCCCCTGCAGATGCTTCACCCAGAATCCAACTTGGAGCTATCTAGTCCCTACTCAAGCACCAAGTTGTCTATGAGTTTCTTGGGGTGATGTAAAAGGAACCCTTTCTCTCTTTTTTGTTTTGTTTTTGTTTTTTTTTTTCCAGTACCAGGAATCAAACTCACAACCTCAGGCTTGCCAGGCAGGTGCTGTGCCGCTGAGCTAAATCCCCAGCCCCAAAAGGAACCCTTTCTGAGTTTCAATGGACACTTTTTTAAAAACTAGCTAATAAAAGTCATGTACAGGAATGTTAAGGCCTTTTGTAGCAAGAAATAGTGCGGGAAAGAATACAATGAAAATGTAGACATATCTGGGTTTGTTAGATCATTTCTTGGACCTAGAATTCCTATCCTGGAGTGTCTTGGTTACTTTTCTCTCATTGCTGAGACAAAATACTTGACACCCAAATTGAAGGAAGGAAAGGTTTATTTAGCTCACAGTTTGTAGAAGTTTCAGTCCATACTTGGCTGGCTCTGGGGCAAATGTTCATGGCGGCAAAGGTAGCCAAACAACAACAGCAAAAGGTAGGAATGGTGGCAAGTAGTCTCTTTCCCTCCCTTATATTGTAAACAGGCTACCGCCACCCGGGGAGTGTGCAGCACTTACATAATTTCCATGCCCTCCTCTTGCACAGGCTCAGGATGTATACAAAGTAAGCACCCTGGCTTCCTGCTGAGTCACTTACCCAAACCTCTAGACTCCCAAAGTTGACACAATGTATCAACCATAACATGGAGATACGAAATTAGACCTTGATCTCCTGGTATGAGCATCTGTATATTCCACCCATGCCCCTGGACTGAGGAGAGGTAGGGACGGCAGTTTATACTCTCAAGAAGTTTGATGAGTACCCACCCTTGAAGAAAAAAAATCTTAATTTTTATAGTGCATTTTTTGGTGCCAGTTACAAATTCCCCCATGCTTTAGCCCAGCTTCAATCTTGAGAGCCTTGAGGAGTCACATTATCTGGCTGGCTATTTAATGTTGGATTGGCATGCAGATTCTATTAAAGGTAGCTGGACAATAAGACAAAAAAGAACCAGATGCGTGATCCTGAAAAGGCGTCTTAAAGATTTTGAGCTCAAGTGCAAAAGAGAGCCAAAATCTAGAGATATCTCAGACATAACGTAATGCATAATGACACTGGGAACTCAGGTCCTGATGCAGCAAGGAACCAGCCCTTTGCTTTCTTGTTCCTTGGTTCCCTGTGCCCTTATGAAAAAATTCAATCAAGATGCATAGGCACGCAGAAGTATAGGTGGACTTTATTGTAAAGTAAATAAGAGAGAATTATACCTTCAATCAACAAGGCATTCAGTGTCATGACAGCATCTACCTAGAGTGTGAGTTTAGATGTATCTTTCTGCACACTACAAGAGTTACTTGTGTAGTTCAGGGAATTACACTATTTATGTCTTTCAATATTTAACTAAAAAGTTACACAGAAATTGGAAAATAGATTTTTAGGCTCTTTAGATGGTCAGTGTCTCCTCAAGGGATTAATCATGTAAGAAACTAACACAAGATGATTTTTTAACTTAAACCAGGTCCCAGGCAAAGCCAGGAGGGTCTTTGAAAATATTTCCTTTCCTGATATCATTGGACTGTAAGCTTATTTTGGAGTTAGGTGGCCAGTATCAGAAGGATTGTGCCCAGCATGTAAATGAAAATATCATTGTGCATTGTGGGATCATTTTAGGTCTGAGACTTAACAAATTCTTACAAATGCATTATAGATTAAAGTAGTTTTTCTTTACTCAACTATAATTGGCAAAGTGTACCATTTTGGACACTCCCTTCCCCTCAGACCCACTAATGTCTCAATACCCATCTCAAACATAATATAAAAAATATATTTATTCCTTATCACATAGTTAATAAGGAAGATCTCAAAATTTACTTTTATTTAATAATGTCCAATAACAGAAACTTTTGCATTAACTCATTTTATTATTGTAATAAGCCATTGGTGATGGCTTGTATCCTAATGGACTTCAATTGAGTTGCTTAACAAATTAGAAATTTTAAATGTGAAAACATTCTTCCTCAAGAACTCAGACCTGAAAGAATTATAGAACAAACCAATACTGAAGTCGATGCAGTCGTGACATACTCAGAGACCATCATAGGTATGGAAACAGACAAATCCTAGGCCCTTCCCTGCTCCTCATTGAAAGCATCATATGTGAATATTTTTTTCTGGGACAGTCAGAAATATAAAAGCCAATTTTACTATAAAACATGAATCTTCACTGGAGTCTGTGGATTCCCTACCAGGTAACCAAAAATAACAAGAACAAACTTTTAGGTTGTATTATCTATGACTATGCACCCTGGGTCCAACCTCTTCTCAGCTCTGCACATAGGTTTGTGGATTATTTACAGAGTATCTTTCTAGAGTCCGCTAGGACAAGTTTCAATAGCTCTGAATTTACATGATCTCATACTCTTTCAAAACTAAGGACACCAGGACCCCACCACCATTACAATCTGAGTCTCTGCCCTCCGTGCACCTATGGCAGACAGGAGTTCCTCTTTCAGAAGGCCGGTGAACTGCTGTCACTGGGGTTCACATGAGGGCCCTCCCTGCGCATGCCCTGCACCAAGTGAGCAGGCACTCCAAGAACTGCTGGTACCGTGGTTCGAGTCTGTGCTTTACTTGCACCCCGACCTCCTGGAGGGCACAGACATGGACAGTCTGTGATTGCTGTCGGTGCGGCCCGCATCCGGCTCCTGTACGCATCCTGAACTGACTGGAGACACGGAATCAGGTGGTCCACAAACTGCTGACCCTGCAGTTTGTGTCTGGGTTTTTCCTGTACCCTGAACTGCCTGGGGACACAGGTCCACTGGACCGGGATTGTGCCACCAGCACAACCCAAATTCAGGACGTACATGTTCCCTGAACTGCAAGGGGATGCTGGATTACATGGTCTGCCATCAGCTGACACCAATGCCCATGTCTGAGACCTGGGATAGCTAAATACACTTCAGCAAGTGCCAGAAAACCCTAGACTAAGTAGTGCATCACAGCGGACACTGGGGGCAAACCTGACTATCTGGAAAACTAGGGACACTAGCAGCATTTGCTGTGCAACCACTGAAAAGGGAAACTGAGCTTTCTGCATCCGACATCAAACATCACAAGA